GTGAAAAGTAGGAATTTAGCAATGCCATTTGCCGTGGCAACTGCGGGTACGAGTTGTAGCTGGCCATTCTTCAACTATACTAAACTCAATCGCCGGAAGCGGTAAAATTAGTAGCAAAGATCTCGCATTCGTTGAACTCTCAAATGAAGCAAGTTTCGCGATGCTTGTTTCTGATTTAGGATGTCATATTTGAAAAAGACTGAGAAAGTGTTATCATTGATGGCAAGTACTGTTTGCCTATTTCCTTCAAATTCTGGCTAGTCTTTTTTTTTTTTTTGTTTTTCAATAACCATTCAGTTGAAGATAATCAATTGATTTTTATTATTTCATGATCTTCTCGGTGATACTGATATTTTATACCTTTCAGGAAATGAAACACGAAATATAACCGTGAATGTGATCAAATTAATGATTCGAATAATCTCGAAGAAATCTGACGAAAGTGGGTCGTATGGTTCCAAGAATTGTAGCAATTATAGAAGATACTGTCAAATTATTAACTCCAAAAAAAATCTTTTTTATTAGACTTTGGGCAAGAAAATTAGGCAATGGTTGCATACGATAATTAATAAAAATTAGAAGAATTATTATTTAATGTACATTTCTCTTATGATTTTGTATATAACATTTACGTATAACTATTATATAAAATATGCTATCGACTTGTAAACTATCATATAGTTTGAAATTCGGATAAATTGAAGTCTGTACGAATATGAATCAAAAACAAGTAAGTGTTGCGATGTTAGTTGCATGAATTAATTATTAAAATGTACAGACAATAAGTTAATAAAGTGATTCTTGGAGTCTATGGTTTATTTTATTTATGAAAAATGTTGATAAATTAATATAAGTAAAATCATGTGTAATGAATATAATAATGTCTAACGATAAAGCTTCGTAATTTAACACTTTTTGTGAAAATTACACACGTTCAACTACGTATTCACGAATAATTTTGACATAAATTTTCAATAAACTTAGCAAGAATTTTATAATATACATTCTACCGATTGTTTCGATCTATTGAATAAAACCTGCAAATTCATTATTCATTCACGTTGCGAGTCAAATGAGGCATAAGAAGAAAACTCAGAATCCAAAATTAAAGATACAACTGCAAAAGTTCATAAATTAATTCTGCTAATTAATTTCTTTTGCAAATGAATATTTAGTCAATTTATCAACAGTGAAATGCTGGCGTTGCGTAGCGGTGAAATGGTGGAACTAAAATCTGTCACTGTCCTTGTCGCACACTAGTGATTTCCTTGTCTGTTACATTGCACAAGCCTGTCTTTGTCGCACATTATTGCGTTCCTTCTCTACGAATAAGATATGTGCTGCCATCAGTCGGTAACTGTAGGAACTAAAATCTATTACCGACGATGATTCATGCAAGTGCTGCCATCTAATGGATTTTTCCTCTTTGTCCTTTTAGTTGCAGATAAAGTTAAGAGATATATAGGTGGCAGCACCATCGATAGACAAAGAGAACAGCAGTGCGTGACAAGGACAATGATAAATTTCAGTTCCACAGTTTTGCCGCTACGCGACGCTAGCATTTCACTGCCCATGACTCGACCAAATTTTCATTTATAAAAAAACTAATTAAACGAATTTATTTTCGAGCTTTTTGCAGTTAAATCTTTCAAATTAGAGCCTCATCTTTCTTCCCATGTTCCATTTGATTTATAAAATCCACAAGTAAAGATTTAGTAATTTCGTTCAATAGATCGAAACTTTCGCTCTAATATTTAAATTTCGGCAAAGTATATTTAAAATTTAATGCTTGTAAGTCGACTACTATAAACTTTACTTAAGAAAAGAATTAATCAAGAAAATTAATTTTTGGAATTGTATTTGTAATTGCATCATATAATTACAAAATAAAGCATAACTTCTGATTTATCACTTTATTTTATTAATACATATATAGATTCTCTTTTTTATATATATAATGACATGTGCATAAATTTAACAAATTGTTTAAATTAAACGATGGAAATTAAAATTGATTACTTTTCAATAACGCAAAGGATTATTTTAAAAAAATATTTAATAAAAATTTATATCAACAATAGAAATGACAAATTATTTGTAAAATTCTCGATTATCGATTATCATTATTTTGCATAGTATTGTTTCATCATTACCGTCGTATACGTTCTGTAAAAGTTTAAAAAATATCAGAAACATAATATATTATTATTTTGCAAAGAAATTAACAAGAATCAACACAAAATGTTAAGATTTATGAGGAAAGGAACTCTTATTTGTTTCCAGGTATTTAATTTTTAAGCTGAATTACAAGTACCATGTGTAATGGAGGTTATGTAACCTAATCATAATAAATAAGTTTCCATTTGTGATTTTATTAATAAAAATTTAGTTTTGTACACGCTTTGAAATATATATACTAGTATAACAATGACATTGTTCAAGAAGGTTTCAAATAGATACACATATGTATATATTTACAATATACAATATGTATATATTGTAAATATATATTATTACAATTATTTATCTATATATATATATTGATTTACAAGAATCTATTTGTTAGAAATCTAGCGAGAATCACGAGATTAGTTCAAATTATTTGCTTTACATATCCGAATGTTGTAGGTGGGAAGTTATAGTAGAAGAACTTTCTCTACAAACAGAATGTTGCGTTCAGAAGAAAAGTATCTAAAAATTAAAGAAGATAATGGAGTAAGAAGACATTATGTTTACAAAGCTACTACCAATAAATTTCGTATTTCCAACAAACATTAATTTCAAATCTACTGTGAAGAGACAAATCATTGCTATTAGCTATTAGCTGTTATTAATTCAATTATAATGTGTCAATATTGATAGTTATTGTTAATATTATAAACATACTCTTAAACCATTTTTGTTTCTGCAATTAGGTAAGGACATTGATATTGAATCATCCTGCATCACGTAATTCGTTATCTTTGAAAATGTTGGAGTCTTTATTAGTGAATATCAAAAAGAATGAAGATAATAAAAATCTTCGATCTATAGTTATTAAATCTGGATTAGAAAGAATATTTTCTGCTGGGCACAACATAAAGGAACTGGTTTGTAGATGGACCAAAAAATAATATTGGCAGGGATTTTTTTAATGTAAAAATTTACATTCATCACAGAGAAATGATTGGCTTGCGTCGTTTAGACTGGTAACAATGAGAACCTTCACAAGGAAATCTTTGAAACATGCTCAGAGTTGATGCGAGCAATTATTCAAAGTCCTGTTCCTATAATTGCTGCTGTAGATGGTGTAGCAACTGCAGCTGGTTGTCAGTTGGTTACTGCATGTGACATTGCTATTTGCACTGAGAGAAGTTCATTTGCTACACCAGGGTATGTACATTCTATATACTAGATACAAATTTAAATATGGCTGCAAATTTGTTGCCACGTATAAATGTATTTATCACTACATTTTAGAGCCAATGTTGGAATATTTTGTTCTACACCAGGTGTTCCCTTAGTTCGAAGTGTACCCAAGAAAATTGCAACGTATATGCTGTTTACAGGTTTTAGCATTAATGGTAAAGAAGCATATGAAGCAGGGCTCGTCAGCAAGGTTGTACCAACTGATAAATGTGGTAAGTTCATCACAATAGTTAATTGAAATGCAATCAACATTTTATCTTGTTCTTTATTTAGAGGAAGAAATTGAAAAGATTACTACATCTATAAACATGAAAAGTCGTTCGGTTGTTCATGTTGGGAAAACATTTTTGTATAAACAATTGGATCTTGATATATCAACTGCATATTTCTTGGGAACTGAAAAAATGATTAATTGTTTAAAAATGAAAGATGCTCAGGAAGGGATCAGAAGTTTCATTGAAAAACGAAAACCTGTTTGGACCCACAGTTATGAAAAAAATTAATATAAACTGATACATGGAGATTATACGTTATAAATTTCCAATAATGAAATAGTTTTTATTATTTTTATGGAAGATGTCGTCAAGTATGCGGCTACTTTTATTGTATTTTTATATTAAATTATCATAATTTTCACATAATTAATAATGTTATTATTTCTGTCATCCTATTTTCGTTCATTAATTTTTAATTTCTTTCTTCACCAATGATTTATAATTTTAGGACAGAACACGATATTTTCAATCGATTTTCCTCTGTTTCAATAGTGCATATCCAGGTCATATAACACAGAATGATAATTGCGTATTTTAAATTCGAAAGGTCTTGGCAGAGATAAGAAACTCGTGGTGGTCGGCAGTGTCAGCAATCTCTGACGCTGATATCTTGGCTACTCATTGCAGTCTTTTTTTTCTTCTTTTATTTCTTTTTCTCTTTTTATTTTCCATTTCGTCTGTCGTCGAATCTGTCTCTCCCCACTTGCTTGTGAGGCAAGTTCATAAATTGAAACCAATTCGTTGTTACATGAAGTTAGTACGACGTTGGGTCCTAACAAAGCCAGAGCATCGAATCTTTTGCTTCTGAGACGATAAAAAAAAGTGCATTTGTTGTTGTATACATTTTTTATATGTACATTTCTATATTTATTTCTTTCTTTTTCTGTTTTACAAACGACCTTCTGATTAGTCGATGATCGTTTTGAGAAACTTTGATCAAGGCTGCATGAAGTTTGGAGCATTGAAACAAGGCCGAGGATCCCGGTGGGTGGGAGTTCAACATCCCAGAATTGAAATCTGCCAAGAAAGTGTAAGAACGATAAGCGTTAAAAGGAGGTTAGCAGATCTGCTGTTCGAAACTTGCCAAGGTGCGTTTGCTCAAATACCTTTATATTTGGTTTCATTTTTTAGCAGTATCGCGACAATTGTCTTTGTAAAAATTCCGATAGAAATTGATATCGATGTTCTACGATTTGAAGTTTGAAGTAGTACTGAATATTGTGGATGATTTGTTGCAGATTGTGAAAGAATGGCGGCTATTCCGCAGGGTGCATTTGCAGCGTGCAAAGTCCGCTGTAATTTAGAGCGTAACGATATGATAAAACCATCGATGAAGGAGAGGGGAAAAGCGGATAAAGAAGGTACATTCAATATGAGACCCTCATTGGAAGGTAACGTCAAATTTATACAAATCATCTATTCTGTTTATATACTACACTATTGGAATAACGAACAAATTTAGAGAACGTTACGAACATAGTGTTTTGCAAGAAAAAATATTTTTATATTATACCGTTATATTTAATTTTCATACACAATATTTCGATGAAATATATCAAATTTGAAATTAGTTTTGTGCAAATAATTTTTATGTAAACGTATATTTTTCGAGTCCACAGTACAGTCCACAGTACAGTATACATAAAATTGATTTTGTTCTTCATTTGTAGGTTTGGAGCTTACACCGTTAAAGTACAACAGCAAGTTAATGAACAGCATCTGGGGACTTTACAATCGTTATTCGGTGCATAATTTCAAGAAAAACAACTCCAACGATGGGGTGTTTGGTAAGCTCGTGGCGATTTGCGAGGCTACTTCTCACAGCCACGCACACGCCGCGACCTCGGTGACTGCAACTGCATTTGCCAACAATAAAATTATTGCAAATTATGCAAATAATTGATTGTTAATTCGAGTATAACGATTGAAAGCAATTCATAATAATACTATAGAGATTTGCAACAGTATTGCATATTCTTTTTACCATTTTTTTTTTAAATTGTATATAAATAAATAAAATGGTTACAGTGCAACTTTACGATGAAATCTTAATTTGTGCATGTAATTTAGAAACATTATTGTAACATGTGTTTCACTAAACGCTAAAATATAGCGATGGACAATATGTGGGGAAACGTGCATGAAATTATATTCCAGTTACAATTGAATGCAATTAGGATTTACATTTTTGGAACATCAGAATTTAAATAAAGTATAGTCTTGTCGACAGGAATGAATACATGTATACACAAATAACTAAACATTTCCTTTAATTGAAATGGATATTACGATTAGAAAAACTACATGAAGAGAGGATCAAGTCGGAAGTTTGCCCTAAGCAAATGACGCTCTTCTCAAAATTACCCGAGCAATTATTTTGATTACATTTCTGTGTTGCTCGACGTATCACGTAGGTTCTTGGTTTTCTACGTTCTGGAAAATCCTCGACGTTGTTGGAACTATTAGAGATATCGATATCCAAAGAAAGTAACGAAGATGATAAATCTGATTTTGTTGCAGGCTCCGTGGAAAGATTTTCTTCATCCTTTTGATCATTCCACTGAGTAGAATTGTTTCTTCTCTTCCCGCACGAGCATTGTTTGCAACGACTTCTCTTCAAACGTGGATGATCTTTCACATCATCGACTCCTCCACATACCGTGAACGTGTGCTCGTTCGAATTTCTTACAATCTTTTTCGTTATCACAGCGTTCTTTATTTTAGAAAAGCAAAGATTGTTCGATTGTTCATGATGAAAATTCAAGTGCTTGGACTTTCGTCTCAGCTTTACTGTTTTCGTTTGTGTGTGTCTTGTTGCGGATTGTTTGTCATTACTGTCTGATAGAATTATTCTCGTATTGTCTGGATAATTTTCAAAACAATACGAATCCGAAAAGACATTCACGTTGGACTCGAATGGCGAGGTCATTGGATTTCCTATTTGGAAATCTAATTCGCAACTTATTTCGGAACAATGTGGGACAAGAGTTGCATATTTCTTTGGAAATATTATTTCGTTGTATCGTTCATTTTCATGTTCTGCAAATAGAAATCCATCATCGTTAATGTCATCTACGTTTTCAATCGGTATGATTGCTGGCGAGTTTGCGATACGTTGACGACTTTCGAGCCTCCCGTTCGTTTGAATGCCCCGACTTTTAAGATATTTAATCCTCGTTGGTATTTCTAATAGATTTCCTTTCTTTCGAGTACGAAAGATGTAACTTAAAAACGAAGGCAATCGAGGATCCATATTCGTACAAGAATAATAAGTCTGGTAATTGAGATGCATAGAATGTAGTTATGTAATTAGCATTTGAAAATATGATAATAATAATGAAATATTAATTATCGAAATTAACAATAAAAAAAAAAAGGATGAAACAAGTGATAGAGGCTAGTATTTATGAAAAATAAACATATAACAAAACATCAGATAAATACAAGTTTGTATACCTCTTGATCTTTGCCATACTTTTGTCCTTTTCTCAACGAGTATATGCTCGTTACTTTCCTCATATATCTTTTTAATTTACTCAAAACATTAGTTTCGCTGCTGCTGTTTCTTTTAAAAACACCCGCGCACGAATGATTCTCCTCACTTTTCAAATAACTGTTTCTGAATACGTCGATCTCGGCGCGCAGCTCGTCCATGTTGTTGGCTAGTATTTTCATTTGATCGATCACTTGGCCCAATTTTCGTTGATCGCGATAACACGTTGCCATACTGGCTCCAATCAAATTGAGCAAATGATTTTAAAAAAAGCTAAAATAGAATTTTCATGTACCACGCAAATCATCATCATACTTTGTTAAAAAAATAAAAAATCCTTGATAATGAAAAATTTCCCCATCATAACGTATTAGTGTAAAGATGCATTGAATTTCATTTTTCATCGTCGAATGGCAACACCAAGTGTCACAACGTCGACGAACGTGATTTGTTCGTTACAAAATATAACCGAGAAAACGGAAATTTACCGACGCGTACATGCTGAATAGAATTGACTGCCGGAGGATTCAGATGTTCTGGAGAGCAATTAAGAGACCACGGGCTCGTATTAAATATCATTTATTTGATTCGTCGTATGTCCTAGGTACATTAATCGTCAGTCGGTGTCGTGTATCATAGTGGTATCGGCTATTGACGCGAGAAGTTTGGTTTTAATACAAAACGAAAAAGAAAAAAAAAAAAAGAAAAACGGGAAAAAGAAAGGAAACACTCCCCTCCCCTCCCCTCCCCTCCATGGAAACCGACACGTAATACTATATTCGTATTTTTGATCTCATATGTACAATCGTTTGTTTCTTTCTCCTATAATATTGGCCTCGGTTTGAAAATAATTATCATCTCTGGGACAGGCGTAGAGACCGTGTCCCTTCGAAAGCATCTATCACAACAGCTAAACGCGTCAAGATGCGAAAGTAATAATAAAAATAGATAAAAATGTACGACACATTATACACGTTTTGTGCGTTGTATGTACACACCTACGTAGCTCCCTTTTTTTTTTTTCGTCCACAAAAAGATCGAATTAGTGTTTCCGTTTGTAATTCGTTGCTCGTAAATTGCATCGTATCCTTAAATTCGAACTGTAAAATGGCATCATCATCATCATCATCATCATCATCGTATTTCAATAAATTAACCGTACAAAAAGCACTGTTGCGTTTAATGTGATCATCACAACATACGATTCGTAGTTTTATCCATTCTACATATATACATACATACATACATACATATATATATATATGTATATATGTATATATATTTTATTTTATTTTCTCGCAACAGATTTGCACACAGGCAAATTTCTGGAATGCTGATTGAATATCTCGCATTTTGTTCACCCATTGATTAAACGAGTCGTAAACTGTGTGTGTGTGTATGTATGTGTGTGCGTGTATGTACTCTTTTGCTCTAGTAAGTTTTCCTAAAATCGAGGTAATCGGGTTGCACGTTATGTCGTCTACGAATCTCATTTGAACATTTGAATACTTTGTTAGGGAGTCTTCGAAGCAAGAAGCAAGAATCGATAATCATCTGATTAGAATTTTCGCGTCTACGGTCTTTCGTGTGTGAATGTTTCTAGAATCTCTGGTTTTTTTTTTTTTCTATTGCTATGTTTCGTGAAAAGGATGTTGATCGATCGACGTAAATTAATAAATTAACAATAAACATTGATAAACTTTGCCGAGTGTGAATGGTCTGATGATTTCGACTGCGGATGTTCATGGCGCTTATGGAAAACTTAAATACGCGTAGAATATACACGGCATGTAAAAATATACAAAATATCCATTTAGAAATATATCACTATGTAGTCTTTCCATTTCTTTCAATCCATCGTTTCGTAACATCCGCAGCCTGCGAATCATGTGTTTTCGCGAGGATGAACGGATAACATTTCGATTTCGATTCTTCCCTATAATACTGATAACCGAGTTAATGAGAGAACGACAACGAAGCCGCTGATGATTCGTGAAACAGAGAACAGTTCGCGCGTCACTTCTTGCCGGAAGATCCGTCTTATCACCGATATATAAGCTAACACACTCGTTCCTCCACGGCATTCGCATCGAGCGCATCGGTGAACTCTTTTTAATACTTAACAGCTAACACGTAACCTAACATGTCTAACGGCGTTATAAATAACATAGAAGACGAAATATCAAGAGAAAGAAGAAGTAGAAGTGACTGATTGGATCTTCTTGGCTGTCAACTATCGAGTAATATAACAGACTAGCAAACCGTCTTCTAGTTTTTTTTTTCTTTTCTCTCTTTCTTTTTTTTTTTTTTTTT